AAACAGCATGGAGGTTCCTCAAGAAATTAAGAGTACCATATGATGCAAACATTCCACTTTGGGGTATTTATCCGAAGAAAACGGGTACAGTGAATGGGCACTAACATGTTCACTGCAGCATTATTTACGATAGCCAAGATATGGAAACATCCCAAGTATCCATTTCAGTCCGCAGGATATGGCCTGGTTTTATATGATTTGAAGTGAGACCGACCTGGGTACAAATCCCAGCTTTACTGTTTACCAGTTGTGTGCCATTAGGGAAGGCACAGGCCCTGAGCCTGTGTTGTCTCATCTGTAAAAAAGGGAAGGAAAGTAGTAGCCACCTCCGAGGGTGGTTATGAGCATTAAATGAGATGATGGAAGTAAAATGCTTAGCACAAGAGATGTAATGAGCACTCAGTAAATTTGGGCTCTATCATTTCCTCCCACATGGCACAGGAAGTGAGCCCATTCACCCAGCCATGGCCTTCGTCTCCACAGTCTGGTTAATTTCCTTCAACCGGGTGCCTGTGAAGTGGTTATAAGGAGGGCTTTGTTGGCCCCTAAGCACCCTCCCACACTCCCTTCTCCTCTGAGGTTTTAGCCTTGGCAGAGGAGGTGGACATGGCTTGCTTTTGCACTCCTTGCCACACGTGTTTTACTGACAACTGTGGTGGGTTGAGATCTCTGGCATGTCTTTCGAGCACCATCCAAGGCTATCCTGCCAACTCCGGTAGGCCCTTAACCTGTTGGCACCTCCTGTTCTTCAGCACGTGTTTAATAGAGAGCCCACGCTGCCACTCTCCTCCTTCCTAAGACAGCCGTGTTTTGCCACAAAACTAAAATGTTCTAAACGTGTTGATCAGTGTTTTCGTTAGCTCTGCTGTGTACGATGAATGATTCCCTGGAACTACCCGTCCACCACGCCCACCACCAAACATCAGTGGAATGCAAGTAATGTTCTGACCACTGGGTTGTGAGCAGCCTAGGAAGTCCACTCAGTGTACGTCTCTCTGAGTCCAGGAAGGAAAAACCAACATCCCCCGTGGTTTTTAGGAAAAGTGGTTTGAACCGAACTTTGGGGATGAAGGGTGGGCCGTGGGTTAGAAGTGTTATAGAATGTAATACATCCCCAAGTGTGGTATACATGCCTCCGCAGGCACACGAGATGGTTTTAAGTGGTACACAGATTTTTTTTTTCTTACCAGTTAAGCAGTTTAGTTAGTGTGAATTTAAAATATACGAACACCATGTTATCCTGTGACGTTGCAGATATTATGGCTTAGGAAAATGTTTTCAAAAATCTTGAAAATACGTTCCTTAAAATAGCTATATTCAATAAACAATTGTATTGGTGAAATGCACATATAGCCAAAAGGACGAAATTGTTAGAGGAAGGACTTTCCATGCCATCCAAATGGTTATAAGCTTCCGAGTCAGACAAACCTCATTCAAACCTGGTCTACCGCTTATCAGCTGTGTGACTTTAGGAAAGTAACCTAATTTCTCTGAGCCTCAGGGGGAAATGGAGTTGAATAATAGTACCAGCTTCACTGGACTGTTGTCCAGCTTAAGCCAGGAGCTTTACACTGTAGTGGTGTGAGGGCCCAAAACCTAGCGCCAGGTGGTCTGGTTTCCAGTCCTAGCTCTTCTGCTTACTAGCTCATGGACATTGAGCAACTTACGTCATCTTTCTGTGCCTTGGTCTCCCCGTCTGGAACATGGGACTCTTAGGAGGGTTAAATGAGTTACCACACTTGAAGTGCTTAGAAGTATTCCTAGTATATATTAAGCATTATGTGTTTCTTAGATTAAAAATGCATGCATATAAAGCTCCTGACACCTGACACCTAGTAAGTCCTCGTGAAATGTTACCCATTGGTGGTGCTTTGTATTGCCAATGCCTGGAACAAATCAATCTACAGTCAGAGTTTGATTAAGAAGCAGCATTTAATTGCCCAGGACTCATGGAGAATTGACAGGGCCCAGCACCTCTCTGCAGGAAAAATCAAAACACGGGGCCCCATGGAAGCTGGGCCTTCTTAAAGGACTGCCAGGAGTGGGGTTGGAGAGAGGGCCCAAGCTAGCTTTCTTTATCCTGTTAAAATAGGTGTGGGTCATCCCAATTAAGAGAAAAGGAAATTAAGCAAGCAGCCTAATGCCGCACGGCCTATATATGACAGAGCTCGGTAGAATGCTATCTTGATGGAGAACTCACAGCCCGAGGGGAGGAATAGAGAACTGGTCCAATGGCGTTCTGGCGAAAGGGATACTTTATGGAAAATCTTATGGTAGAGGAATGGTGATGATGATAGTAATGTAACAGCAATACCATTAACTGAGATTCAGCCACTGTTGCTGACTACCTCTAGACATTGTCCTATCTCCCAATCCTAAAACAAAACAAAACAAAACAAAACAAAACAAAACAAAACCCTCTTCTGTGATACCATTAACACTCTCTTCCTACCCACTGACCGGTATCCCTTTTCTTTGAAAGAGTACCCTATTTCTATCTCCATTTCTCATCCACCACTCACTCCTCAACCTACTGCGGTTTGCCTTTTCTTTCCCAACCCATCGCCGCCTCTTCTGGGACTCTAGACCATCTGCTCTCATCCGTTTTCCCATATTTATTCAGCAAATACTGAGTCCCTACCAAGCGCCATACATGGTACTCACTCCTGATAGGTGACAGCAAATGAGACAAGGTCTCTCTTCTCAGGAAGTTCACATTCCAGGTCAAAGCAAAAATTGGATCTGCTGACTGAGTGCCCTCAAAAGCAGTTCACTGGATGATGGAGACGATCACTAACAGCGGGGCACATGATGGTCATACCCTCAGAATAGATACTGTTATCAGGGCGAACCTGTTTGAGCACCTTCTAAAGGTAGGTAGAGCAGAAAGCTCCAGGCAGCACATTGACATTCTTAATCTTAGGGCATCTTGGAGCCCTTCTTGTGAGAAAATGCAAAATCACTCACTCAGGGATTGTGACAACAACTCCTTTTGAAGAAAGAGCAATGAGTTGGAGAAGGAAGTAGGGCGATTAGTGTCGGGCTTGCATTTCAGTGAGGTTAAGAAATAGATGTGAACGCTGATAAAATTGGGAGTAAAGAAAGAGCTCAGATGAACTTACAGCTTTCAGATCACTTCTGATTGGGGAAGGTAGGCCTAAACGACATCGGCAAACAAACCACACAATACGTATCTCCGGGCTACATACTCCTTCGAAGGGCCTCCAATGAAGGGGTTCCCTTCCACAAATTTAAGGAAATTTTAATATCGGAACAGCGATAATTTACTTAAATAAACCAAGAGAAAAGAGTGTTTGCAATGGCTGCTAAAGCTACTGAAAGGGCACGTTTGAGATCTAATAAGTGACCTGGAATGGCTCAGAACACCAGAATTGTTACTCTGCGCACATAGGTCTCAAACAAAATCTTAATACCACCTTTGCTGATGAGATGCTACTACCATCCTTATTAGAGCCAGAAAGTGACAAGAAATCTTTTTATCAGCATTACAGTCCAAAAGTATTTGTGAATATTTGGAAATTAAATTTTAAAAAGATTTAAACGCTAAAATAAAAGAGAACCTAAGTAGTTTTAGTTGACCTGATTGCACTGCAAATGAGTAAATATGTAGAACAGCTTTATCTTGGGAAACTTTACACTCTTAGAAATAAACAGGAACCTTAGCAGACTCTAAGCAAATGCAACCTGAAGTCAGGCATGGTGGTTGTTTTTTTGTTTTGTGTTGTTGTTGTTTTGTTTTGTTTTGTTTTTTTACCTCATAGACATATTTGCAGTGTCTATTCCAGATAGAGTAGATACCAAGAATTCCGTTGAGTGAATGAATGAGCCATATTTTCAATCTTTAGGTAGTAAGAATGGTGGGGGGTGGGGGGGGACAAGATAAAGAAGATGACGAACTTAAATGAGAGGTGGTAAGAAGTAACCGAATACAGTTTTCTTAAGCACCAGGAAAATTATTTCAATTGTATGTCTTTTCTCCACATTTTCTTATGGACCTTGGTGGAGCGTGTGGATCTCCTGCGTTCAAGAACTGATCTTGCACTTACGAGTTTTGGGACTCTGTGCTCTCTGGATCTGAGTTGCTTCTGTAATAAACTAGTTATGATAGCATTGTTGTAAACACCAGGTAAAATAGTACCTGTAAAAGTATGCCGTAAACTAAAAAACATTGTACAGTGCGAGGGTGATATTACCACAAATGTGACAGTACTGCTTTCTCTGCTGTTGAAATAAAAGACCTGATTAGAGAAACAAACAAAACAGAAACAAGTAAATAAATAAAGAGGAGCCACCAAAGCTGTTTGGTCAGTAACATCTGCCAATATTTACTGTACACAGTATCACGACAGAAATTTTCATAAATGTATTCCAGAATCCATTTAAAAATTGTAATAGGAACCCATTCTATGACGTTAACATAAATTTCAAACGCATATGAAAAATATTTTTTTCTATAAAAGCGTAAAGGAGATGGACGTTGCTTCAGATACTTAAAAGTCTCCTCAATAACCCGCCTAACAGAAGTCAGATGGATTCTTATATCAGCTTCTGCACGTTATCTGTTGCCATATCACCCATAACGAACCTCTGAAACATTCACCACACGCTCATGAGAGAATGAGAGAGAAAAAGGTAAACATCATTATAACAAAAATAACCCCCACTGAGGCTGACCTACAGAAATATCTAGCAGAGATGACTGCTTGGGAAAGCCAAGAAAAGCGGCATGGTTAAGGAGAGTCCACAGTTGTCCAAGGAATAAACTGCACTCAAATATAGATTAAAGCAGTGCCGATCCTGTTTGGCTCAAAGTAAAACTACTTTAAATATCTGCAGAATGCCACAACAGGGACAAAACTCAATGCTCTCTTTGGCAGAGTTTGTCCCACTTTTTAAAGCTACAGGTCTTTTCCCGCCAAGTGAGGTGGCTCTGAAAAGAGCCTTTGGTTTGCGAGGTGGTCAGGCGGTCCGGAGGCAGCTCATTGGCGGAGGGTGTACCTGATGATGGCTTGGGTGCCCTCGGACACGGCGTGCTTGCCCATCTCCCCGGGCAGCAGCAGGCACACGGCTGTCTGGATCTCCCTGAAGGTGATGGTGGAGCGCTTGGCGGAGCGGGCCAGGCGAGAGGCCTCGTCGGCGATGCGCTCGAAGATGTCCTTGACGAACGAATCCAAGATGCTCACGGTCTTCTGCGAGAGGCTCAGGCCCTCGTGAACCTGCTTCAGAACCCTGGGGAAGTAGATAGCGAAACTGTTGGGGCAGCGGCGGCGGCGGCGGCGGCGGCGGCGGCGGCATTGGCGCCTTGGCTGCTCGTGCTTCGGGCTCTTCGGGTCCACTTCTGTGGGCTCCTCCGTGCCCACGCATTCGCCAGAAGAGGTCTCACAGCCAGGCTCAGCCATGTGGGGCTCGCCTTCCCGACAGCTCGGAAGGAAGGACAATGGCGGCTGCAGAGGGGCGCTGGCCCGTTTATAGTCGCTGCATTTCCTGACGTCACGGGCAACCTCCATATCTGATTGGACAAAATGCAATGCAGGGAAGTGGGGCTCTATGCCAGGCCGTGTCCCCTGTGATTGCATACCCTCGAGCTTCACATCACATCACATCGGACAATCAGAGAGGGAAATCCGGTGCCCTCTAAACTTCTTGGGACCTCGGTCAGAAAATCTTTCAAACATTCCATTTCATTGTGCATTTTGTCTGCTGATTTTCAACATCAAAACAGTAACAGATCTGAGGAGAGTCCTGTTTTTATTGGAATACTTTATATTGCACATCATTACCTTATTTCTGATAAGCAGTAAGTGCCATTGGATCAGGACATGCTAGAAACCAGGATGCTCTGGAGACCCAGAGTCAATGTGTCCATCTCTGAAAATGACAGCAAAGGTAAAGTGGTGGTGATGGAAACACATGAGTACATTGGGAGAGAGGAGGAAAATGATGCCTGGGCTTAAACAGTTCATGAATGTGTAACAGGAGGTAGCCATATCGGAGCACCTTCCCTTTCTATTCAATTACTTTGTGTGGGGGGGCGGGGGGAGGGACCCCTTTTTGGCAGGTAGGGAGCAGCACACAAGAAAGGGTGGCATAAATTGGACCAGTCCCTTTTCATTTATCTACCCAAAGACAGTATATTAAGGAGTTACAATTAAGAGGTGTGTGTGTGTGGGGGGGGGGGGGTCGGATATCAACTGGTCATAAGTAATTACACATCTCATAATAGCTCCTCGTGGTGCTAGTTTGTAAACGCTGTAAGGGAGGGCCAGCAGAATGGGATAAACCAGAGCTGAAACTTATTTCCCCATGTTTTCTGCACAAAGCAAGAGGTGAGGATATGAGATTGGCGTGGTTGTCTGTGGAACTGCTGAAATGCCTGGTGCCCTCTGAATCTTCAGGTATGTCCACAAGAGATAGCAGGAGATCCCAGAAATTCTCAAGCAGAGCTCTCATGTGCATGCCTGGCCTGCCCTGGTGGGGCAAGACCAGAGCAGTGCCCAGTAGTGTCCAGAGTAGAGTGGAGAGAAAGTCAAGCAGCCGGGAATCCCCAGCGAGCCTCCATTCTGTCACAGTCACTTGCATACCTTTTCTTTTTTCTTGCCAAGCAACCAGATGCTGATCTTCACAGATGGCAAAACCACGACTAACAAATAAATCAGAACAGGCCTGGGCACACACAGGCCAGTTTGTCAGGACCAGTTTGCTTACCTTTCCAAGCAACTACTATCATTGTCAGCTGCTCAGCCTAACCCAACAGGTGCCACTACAGGAGAGGAGAGGGAGAAGGACCAGTCCCAGAGGGCCCATTCCCGGTGTACCCCAAAGTCCTCTTCCTCCTGACAGCCTGGAACCTGCAGCTACCGCAGATGGGCCCCTCTGAAGATCCTTTCCCCTCTTCTGGCTTTCCAGGCATCGTATCAACTAATCAGAGTTGGTATTAAGCTTCCTGTCGCCTCTCTCAGAAGTCCTACACAAACACGCCAGTGAGAAGAAAGGTCAACCAACAACATTTGTTCACTGATGCCCCAGCAGGGGAGCTCCGGGAAGACTTCACCAGAAGCACCAAAGATTGTAGGCTTTTCAACTTCGGCTTACTGAGAGAGTCTGACCTCCATATCCCAGGCCCCTCGTTCCAGAGGAATGACTGGCCAATTGGGGGCCATTTCTCCTACTACTCAGAATGGACTGTTGTCCTGGGCTAAGCCACCATAGCTTGGGCAGGAACTCTCGCATGGCCAGCAGAGTGCTGGTGCAAATCAAGAGACATAATTGACAAGCACCTGCCCCGAGTTCTGACCAAGACCCTCAGGAGAAATGGCAAAAACCATAGTCTCCAAACACACAGCACACAAAGAAGTAGTCATACAGATAAAAACACCAAAAAGGTTTTTAATGCTTTTAGCAGCATTTGCCAAGTTTAAAATTGTTTTCTTAACACTAGTTTGGTTGTAAAAACAATACCCGCACACTAGAACTGCTGACCAAATATAAGTGTTGTTGGCTGAAAAAAAAAAACAAAAAACAAAAAAAACCACACACGCGCGCACACACACGCACACACACACACACACACCAATTTACCCAGATTGTCTAAGAAACCACCAGAGGGACCTCTACTAATCAACTCTTGTTGATCAGACGTTGGATGTGGCCATCACGGGAAGTCCCAGAGCTCGGACAAGGCAGCTCTCTGTAGCTGAGGCAGTGCCTAAAAGGGCTAATGGCTGAGGACTGCCAGCTGACCGCACTCTCAGCAGCTGAAGCAGAGTCTGTCTTTGAGGAGAGTTCTGGTTGGAACATCCTCATGTCTATCATCGCCTCATTATCAAACGATACTCTGGCTACCCAGGCAACCGTAGTTTGACAGTCGTTTTCTCTCAGCACTAGCTTTTGGCTTCCATTTCTTGGCGAAAAGAGGTATGTTATCACATTATTTGGTATTCCATTTTTAGGCACCGTGCCCTGTTGTCTGCTATCTTGCTCTCTATGCTTATATCCTAGCTTTACTGCAATGTATCCACATGTGCTTCCTGAATCCGGGATGTCATGGCTTCCTTAAATTGGGGGAAATTACCAGACATTTGTCTTTGAATATTATTCTTCCAAAATTCATCCAAGTTTCTGCTTCTGGAATGCCTATGAGATGCACTTAATAACTACTTACCCCATTCCTTATGTCTCTCTGCCTCACTCTCATCCTATTTTTGTCTTTATCCTTCTATGAGGCGTTCTGTCTTATTCCTTTCACCTATCTTCTAGTTCACCCATTCTCTCTATCTGGTATGTCTCCTTTGTTGTGTAAACTTTTGTGGATCTTTTAATCTAGCGGTTCCTATTTTCAACACTAGAAAACCATTTAAGACATTTTTGATAACTAGTCGCTTCCTACTCATATTTTACATGTCTTGTAATTATTTTTTAAAGATTTTACTTATTTATGTGTCAGAGAGAGAGAGCGCACAAGCAGGGGGAGCGGCCGGCAGAGGGAGAAGCAGGCTCCCCGCTGAGCAGGGAGCCCGATGTGGGACTCGATCCCAGGACCCTGGGACCATGACCGGAGCTGAAGGCAGATGCTTAACCGACGGGGCCACCCAGGCGTCCCTCTTGTAATTATTTATATAAACGTTTTAACCGTTTTTTAAAGTTGGCATTTGGTAATACTACTTTGGAACTTTCCAGTTTGGTTTCCTGTTTGATTTTGAGAAGGGTGGCTTGTGTGGGGATTGTGTGCGTGTATAGGAGGACTTTATCTGCAAGAATCCTGTAACAACCTCAATTAAGGTTACTCCTCCGGGAAGGATTAGAAGTGCACTTGCCATGTGTCTGGGTTTGTGAATGGGAACTGTTGGCATCGTGCTGGTAGTGCTAACCCGAACCCCAGAGCTACGCCAGGACACTCGTGTGAATGCACATCCTCAGGGAAAATTTTTTTCCCCCTCACTCAGAACTAAGGACCGGGAATAGAATTTTCCTCGGCGTCTCCTTTTCCCAGTAGGGAAAAGTCCAGTTTTCTCAAAGTTTGTAGTCATTCAAGCACCACTTCATGCAAAGCCGAGTATGTAATGCGATGGGTCTTACTTGCTCAGGCCCATGTAGCAAGCGGTAAACAACAACAACAACAACAACCACAACAAAAACTGTACATTCAAATAGCCTGAGTTAAAATACATGGTCGACATCAAGGGAAATCTTTTTACTACTATTAATTTGAACAATTCTCCTCTGACCTGATGGAAGTGGTGAGAGATACGTCCACGCACAGGCCTGGATTCATATCCTTCTCCTCATGGCTAAAAGCATACAACTAGTCAAACAAAGAAACAAACAGCAGGTAAAGTATCATACCAGATTCCCCCTCAACCGCAGAGGCTGAGTACCCAGTAAGACTCTTACTGGTTCAGCCTGAGACACCTGACCGCACACTAGGCCCAATGCCGTGAGTCAGCGGCTCCACATCCCTGATAGCTGATTGGCTAACTCCCAGCTGACTGAGGCTTGAGTTGCCTTGACTAGCAGCCTCCATCATCCATTGCAGAAGCCGATCTGCAAGTCCTGAAGATTTGTGATTTCCACAAGAAAAGATTACAGGCTTGGGAAGTATAGAATCAGATAAATCTGGGCTACTTGAAGTGTTAGCTACAGTTACCAGGGAGCCTGAAATAGGAATTATTTCCTGAACTTTTTGATTTAGCGATTTCTGTACTGAGTTTGGGTTTTCTCTTCTGTTTTTCCAAGAATTCCATTAACAAAAGTAATGTTGAATAAGTTTGATTGGGGGTGGGCACGCGGGGGCTGCGTTGTTTAAGCGGCTGCCTTTGGCTCAGGTCATGATCCCAGGGTCCTGGGATGAGGCCCTCATCAGGCTCTCTGCTCAGTTGGGGAGCCTGCTTCTCCTCTCCCTCTGCCTGCCGCTCTGCCTACTTGTCCTCGCTCTCGCACCCTCGCTCTCCATCAAGTAAATAAATAAAATCCTTAATAAAAAAGTTTCATTAGGGGATGTTCGACTCATCAGTACTATTTTCCCAGGGTTGTGGCTTATAATTTGTTACTTAAGCAACAAATCCACTTCTCTCAATCAGTCTTTACCATTAACCACACTATTAGAGAATGAATGCTCAGCAGATGCCCTTTGTCCTCAGTTGCCTTCAGAAGTGATCAGAGGCACTCACTTCCCTTTTGTCTAGGCCTCAAC